AGAGAGAGAGAGAGGGAGAGAGAGGGAGAGAGAGAGAGAGAGAGAGAGAGAGAGAGAGAGAGAGAGAGAGAGAGAGTGACGGTGCTCGCATAATTTTATCTTCCCGGTGCTGATCGTTGGACTTGACGCTAGAGCAATAAAATCGAGCGAATAAGACGCTTGAGGGTTAAAACAAGTATACGCTGAAATTTCCTAGCGCATTACGTAATGTCGCCATGGCAGTGAAGGCATTTCTCTTGGCACAGAAATCAATCAGATATCGGAAAGGTGGGGAGGAAGGGGAGGAGGATGGGTGGATGAGAGGAAAGAGACATCAGAGCGGAGAAGACATCGCGGGTGAAATCGAGGGTAGGCGAGGGTGAGATAGAGCGAGAGAGCCTCGACTCAACTCTTAATGCCTTTGCGTGGCGAGCCGCACCTGCCGCTGTTGTGCTCCCGCTCCCTTTCATCATCCTCTCGTTTTCTCGCCCCTTGGCAGCCGCAAACTTTCTTATTGCCGAACTTGATGTCGTAAGGAGAAATTGCTTCGGGTCCCCTTTGCCCAAGTAGACTCAAAGCACGGATAGATCGGGCTTTTTTGCTCGGGGCGAGCTTGGCTTGGGAGCTTTGATGCATCGAAAGAGGAACGAGGGGCCCTTGTCTCTGACGCCGTCGCTCTCGCCTTTCCCTCGCCTTCTCTTCCTCCTCATTACAATGGCAAAGTTGTTTAAGTATCCGCGAATCCGGACTCGCGTGATCGCCGCATCGAAGCCACACGCTATTCATGTCTCTTATTTACCTTCTTTAGAGCATCGAATTACAAGAGCGTGAAGAACGATCCGCGCGAGCATATAAATCGAGGAATTTTCTTACTTATACATGTCTTTGTTTTTTGTAACATTAAAATGCTCAAATTCACGACCATTCAATCCCCGAACGTGGACTTTAGACTCTCATTTTATACTAAAGTACTTTTTAATTCAAATTTCATGAAACGAATGAACATGAACAAGTATTGTTACACTTGTCATAGTGACGACTGCTGATATTGCTGGAGTAACAAAGTGTCAGCGTGGGCGATTAGTACTAGTTTTGAGTTTATATTGACGTTAATGTGATTATTAAAGAATGATATTCGATGGCTATAGCTTCAACTCGATTCTACCAATTCTGAAGACGAAGGAATTATTTATTTATCGATTATACATACCCACATGCCTGCGCGCGTATATTTATTACTTTACTTATTTATCGTAATAGAGTTGTCACGCGCTTGTTCCTAACGTACATTCTCCAACAAACAATTGTCATTTATTGCGATACAGTTGCGTAACTATTGGGATGTCCGATTAGTATCGCAATTAACAAGTATAGAAAACAAAAACAAAACAAAAACAAAAAATAAAGAAAACGAACGAGTTAAGGCAATAGAGATCGGGACAATCGGTAAGCACACGATTAGAGCACATTGACGCGGCACTTCATCCGTGACAATTCGTTTCTAGCCGCAAAAGAGCACTCGGACACTTTAAAGTGACGCGATCGCTAGACGAGCGAAGAACATGCGAGCGAATGCACCTCCCGGCCAGGTAGCGACGGGCTCAAGCTCCCCGTGGCAATTACACAGCTTTCGGAGCTTAAGCCCGGGCGTTCTCGCGTCCTTCTGATTATATAATAATACGCGCGTATGACTCCGGGGGCGCAGATTCGCAATTACACGGGGGCGCGTACCACACGCTCGGTAAACATGCGGAGAGGTCGTTAGCGCGTTGGTCACGTGGCTCGCCCCGAGGCGCATCTCCAAGGGTTAATTGGAGGAAATAAACGCGAGCGGAGGGATACGTGCGATAGCCAAAGGGGTTGCACTTCATTATATATCTCTCGCTCTCTTTATTTGCTTGTCGCACACCCATTGCGAACTATGTGCACGGTCTCCTTCTCGTCGGCCTCCCTTTTTCCCTAATTTCCAAAGTCACTTTTTGCCCGACGACGTTCCTCTCCTTTCCTAATCATACTTTGAGATTACATATTTCGTATCCTATGCTATAAGTAGAATAGGCGTGGTGCTAAATCCCTGCATTATTTTCAGTGCGAAAGTTTGCGAATCGAAGGGTTTAAGTACGATAGATTTGGTTTGTTCTTTGCTCTTTATTTTTTGTTTGTTTCTTTGTATTGTTTGTTTTTTGTTTTTACAAAAATCTTGAAGCACGAGGAAGTTATTGCTTTACAATGAATCATCCAGCATCCTTTTTAACGAACTACTTCAATAATGCTTTCTCTCTCTCTCTCTCTCTCTCTCTCTCTCTCTCTTCTCGCTGTCTACATGTCTCCAAGCTTAGTAAAATAAAGGACCGCCCGTCGCTCCATGCAAATTAGAGAAAGAGAGCATTTATCTTACCATGCGTGGCGCACACGCAAAGGGAGGCGACCGTGAAAAAAAAACACGCAGCGCGTGCGGTAGGCCACGGCACCAAAGGGCTGGTAAAAGCCGCAGAAGGAAGTCCGACCGAAGCCCATTAAGCCGTCCGGTGAATGAGAACGTGGTTTGCTCTCTCTCTCTCTCTCTCTCTCTCTCTCTCACTCTCTCTCTCGAACACCCACCCACCCACCCACACACGCGCGCGCGCGCGCATTCTTTTTTTTCATTCTTTTGTTTGTTTTTGCCATTTACTCGCGTGGACTGTCCAGTGTCCGTGAAAGTCCCCGTGGAGATTGGCAGAGCTGCTCTGATTTATGCGTGTCCCTCGTTCTTTCCTTTTTTCACTTTTTTCCGCGTGGCTTTCGTCGGCCAGTGATGCGTTTTATCTTGCTTAATTTGATTTTAACGTGACGGCAACTATTCTTTCATTTTCTCGTCAAGATTTCGCGTGTTGCTTATTCGTTACAAAAAAAACGGTTAACGAGTCCTCGTAATGGCGGGCCTCGTGTTATGAGTTATTTTGTAATCCGAGATTACTATTAACTTTACGCATCGAGCATGCTCGCTCTCGCACACACACCTGCACACTTACAACCATGTCCAAGCAAAATATCGTAATTAAATAAGCTCGATGCTTTTTCACCCGACACTATGTAAAGTGCCGGCAATCGTAAATTTGAAGCGATCACTGTACAATCGACGCTTGTTACAATTTCAATGCAAACATACTTGAATAGTCTAGTAAAAATATTGCAAATCCTTTTAATACGCGACATCCTGCTTTTCTTTAACGTATTCAAGGAATTCGAGATGACAATGAGAGCCTAGAGCAACGTAGGACGTCCAAATGCCGCCCGATCCATCTTGCCCCGTGGGGTCACCTTGTTCCACTCTCTCCTATCGATACCGGTCAGTGACTTATTTGCATATGTAAACAGAAAATCTGAACACTCACAGTCCGTTGGTGGGGTTGATTGTTGCTCGAATACGGATATACGCGAAGAACTTTATTTAACAAAGACGGACGATCTCGTTGGAATTCACTGAAAGTATCAATGAGGATTAAGCGGGCGGCAAATCGCTCGATATTACCCTAATATTTAGAATAATACTTGTCCCGGCCATATTAAGATTATAAAATAATATATAAAACACATTAATGTCTAATTAATACAGGATTGTGCTGTTATGATTTGTTTAAACGAGGGCCGGAACAAGGGTTTTTGTCGCGCTGGAAACGGACGCGCTGCTTTAATTGTATGACTCTTGAATTATTTATATGTATGTGAGCGTTCATGTATTTTGTTTCCTTTTTTTTTTTTATCTGAAAATTACAAGTACATAATGTTGTGTATATATTAGAGTCTTAAAATGTAATTTCTCGCAATATTCTAAAGTGCAATATTTGGTAGGTAGCTTTTGTGCAAGTTTCTGTACGTAAAGAATTAATTTTTAAGGAATGTGACTGCTTGGACCGTATCTCGAGCGGTTAAAAAGAAAAAAGAAAGAAAAAGAAAAAAGAATAAAGAAAAAATCATTCCAACAAATAACAAAGAGCTAAAGATATTATTTTAAATCGTTAAGGCCAGTAGAGAAAGCAGCGGTAGCTCGAAGCAATGAGAATAATTCACTCGACTGGGAAAGTAAGTGTAAGGAAATATACCGAGTAGACTGATAATACACTCAAGCGCCAGAAGCCCAGCGGGACAAAATAAACATAATAATTCCATAATTCTGGTCGAATGTAATAAAGATAGAAATAAAGGGACAATAGGAATGGGATGTCGGTGGGCGCATGTAAATGTCGGAAGATAGAGGAATAGAAACCGTTCCCGTAGAGCTTCCTTGTCATTTTTCGTTTTCGCTCATAAGGCGAAAACACGAGCGGGTTACCTAACGGGCGCCTATTGCTACGAACAATGCATCTGATTTCTGCGCGGTCCGTTAAATTTATGCTGTCAGACGCAGGCACCTCAACTCCTCGTGACATAACCGTATTACATGAATTCGTCGAACGCCCATTGGGATGGACGCCGATGATAGAGAGAGAGAGAGAGAGAGAGAGAAAAGCGGGTGAGGGGGCATGGAAAAACGAATAAGGCAAATAGAGAGGATGGTGAAGAAGAGCTGAATACTCAATAGAAATGGGATAGTCTTTGAGTCATGAATGATAAGTGCAAACATTGTGTTTTTGATGGGCCCATGCTGTAATCGACAATTTTATAACTAAAGAAACAATAAAACGATTATTGAATTATTCAGTCAGTACTAAGGCCTCGTTTGCCCATTATGCAATTTTATTTTGCATAAACTTTAACAATTTTAAAAAACAAACAAAAGATACCTAATAATTTAAACAACAGTTATTAGAAAAATATACCCTATGTTGTAAAATTAAAGCGCAATTGATTTATAATATCAATAATGAGAACATATTCATGGATTTTTTATTTTTCCAAAGACAATCGGTTTCGTTCACCCAATAACTTTTACCTATCGCCGAACATTCATCGTGCAATTTTAATTCTTTTTCGCAGATCCTTTCGTTCGGACGCCAACGGAATCGTTGACTAGTCGCTTCGCTATCGAATAAACGAGTGAAATACTCGTTGTTCTCATTACGTAATCGCACATCCACCGGACAAATCCTAAGCAACGAATAAACGTCGATATAAATCGCACTACACATCGGATGAGTCTAGACTCTAGTACTCGAAAAGAAAGAGATAGAGATAGTTAGGAGATATACAGGTAGAGAAATGGATGGATAGATGGATAGATGGAGAGAGGAACGGATGAATGGATGGATGGATGGATGGATGGATGGACGAGTGGATGGATGGATAAATATTTAGATGGATGCATGGATAAATACGTAGATGAATGGATGGATAGTAAATATATTTGTAGATAGACAGATAGATAAATTGATTGACGGAGAAGGGGGAAAATGAAAAAAGTCAAGGGGGCGAGGAAGGAAATTAGTAGAGGGTACCGCCATTTTGTATTTGAGCTTAGCCCCGGCGATATCCAGCCCATTTGGAAATTCTATCGCTTTCGATTGCCTGCGAGCTTCTGTCTCGAATACTATCGACGCTGTCGAGTCACCTGCAGATTTTCAGGTGCTGGCGCACATTATTATTGCGTCGCTATCACAAAATCATAAATGGACTTTAATGATCTTTTTCTTGGATTAGCAATACGTAAACCACTTCCACGAGACGTCGTTTCTTTAACTTTTAAACATGCAGGACCGAGGTTCGTTATTCCTCAACTGTATTTTCCATTATATGCAGTTAGTTGCCCTGCTCCTTACATCGATCGATATGCTTTATCGATACAAGGATGTATAAATATAATGTTGACGATTTGATAAAAGGGGATAAGCATATCGACGCATCTGATTAGAATACCAACAGTATATTGCGTAAGAGTTATTTTTCACATATTTTTCGCATACTTTTTATAGAATTTATTATACGCGATTAGCAATTGTTACAATTCGATGATTTAAAACTTGTAGCTCTTATGAAAATTCGTAGCTTGCAACATTTTTTCGCCAATTAGATAAAACTCCGTTTCGTTGTGACCATTAAATACGTACCAAATGCGCTCACTTATTTACTTATTTACTTTATAAGTATCAAGTATGCGGCAATAATTTGTCACTTAAACGCGAATATTGGTATTAATAATTGGCGGTGCTATGTCGTTTACCCTATTAAATTTCATAAAAGTCTCGATTCAAAGAAACGAGCTGTCAATATAAAAGGATATTTTATAAATAACATTCGCCTTCGTGAACAGAGTGTCAGGATTGCCATTGGAGAAAGTCTGGCAAATTTTAAAGAGACGATAGTGGTCGTGCCAACGCAAGCTCAATGTTCCTCTCATTCGCTGCTTTTCTATAAAGAAAGCTCACGTCTCGAGTAACAACAACTCTTAGAAATTGCGACTCCTCGTCTTCGTCGCCATACAAATAACACAAAATACGGAAAAGGTGAGAAATTGGGGCGTAAAGTCAGAAAATGAAGTGTTCGTGCGGACGGCCGTAAAAATTGTCCGTCGCCGCGGTGCATGAAATTCCCGTCGTAAACGTGCGTTTATAGATAAGCACCGGAAACCGAACGGATGCACGGACTAACGTCGGGGACGACGCGGTCTCCCCTGTCTGTTGCAGCGGTGCAAAACGAGCGACAGCCACGGAACACGGCAACCATCAGGCCGGAAGCTCTCGTGGAAATGGACCAGGAGCGGGCGCTACGCGAGGCCGCTGTCGCCGTCGGCGTCTTTGGGTAAGTCAGTTCCAGGATAAGATTGTCTTCATTAAGTCCTTTAGAGCAGCCTTGGCAACGATGTCCGACCGAATTAAAGACACCTCAGACGCGTACCTCTCAAGAAAGCACGATAGTTTGCCTCGTGCGGGATTGTCGCTTTGCCGAAACGTGCACAATAGTCGATAGAGTGCAATTGGCGGAGTCGCGTTTCTTCAGCGTCGCCGAACATTAAGATGCCAAGGGAGCGTAATTCGACTGGCCAATCGGGGGGGGGGGGCAGATAAAAAGTTATACACAAACGACAACGCCAGTGACTGGAAAGGACAATTTCCCGATCTGCCGTCGGTCGATTAGATGGCCCACCGGGTCGTCGCGGCAGCTCGACCCAAAAATGAAAAGGCCAAAGGGTCAACGAGTCACCGAAGAGAAAGAAGAAGAGCTAGAGAATGAGGATGAAGAGGAGGAGGAGGAGGAGGAGGAGGTGATGGAGAAGGAGGAGAAAGAGAAAATGTACGAGGAGGAGCAGAAGCCCCGACAATAGCTCGAGCTCCGGCAGCTATTCCCCCTTGCCTTAATTAAAATAGCTAGGTGAAATAGTGGAGGCGGGTGGAGGAGGAGGAGGAGGAGGAGGAGGAGGACGAGGACGAGGGGTAGGGGGGGAGGAGGTGTCGATGCGCGCTCGTGTAACAGCCAAGCCTCTATCGGCAATTTTTAATCCGATCGCAACGAGGCATCGATATAGGCACACTCGGTAGTTGGCACACGTTTGATCTTGGCCGGGTCGGCCAAGTTAATACGCCAGGCCGAGCATGATCTATCATGAAAAATTACCTTTGACTGAGGGTGCCGATGTCGTTGGAGGAGGAGGCGGGGTTGGTCGCAACGTGAACCGTTGAGCCGGAAGTAACGGAAAATCCATAGCGAAGCCGTGCGCGACGCGGACGTCGGGAGAATTTTCGCGAGGCACATTCCACCGAGATCGAAGCGCCGGGGCTTTTGGCCACTGCCGCTGTTTGCTTCCCCCTCCACCAGACTCGCTCCTCCAGATGTGGGCACATTTAGATTTATATGAGTTGGCTAATGTCACGGGAGATAGTCCTCGATGAATCCGGATAATTGAGTTTCTTACGAAAAATAAATCTTCCGGGACTTCGATGGAGAAACTTATTACAGAGAAGGAAAGTCTTAGGCATTGATGTTACGTGTAAATTGCATGGTTGGGTGGACCGCGTTGTATGTGCAATTAATAAATATAGGCATATTTTATGTCAATGTCGCAATAAACGAGGATAAATATATTTATTGCTCCTGCCGTACTCCATAGAGAATTTTCAAACTTTCTCGTTACTTTGTCGTGGCTAAAGAGTGCTTCGGAGATAAAATTAAATATTATTATTAGAAAATGGTTTGCCTTATCGATAAGAATCTTCTGCCCATCCAATGATAATAGCGAATGAAAATATCATCGAACAAGATAAAGAGGAAGGAAGAAAACGGATTACTTGGCCGAGAAAGGAGCGTTTCTGATACGAGAATAGATTAGATTAGCGTGTCAAGTTGCTTTAAAAATGTGAATTATTAGAAAATATTGTTTTGATTGATTCATTAAGTATACAATGTTCGATTACGTTTTAACGATTAAAATTTAAAAATTAAAAGCCATAAAATACGTTGCATTGAAGCACCGAATGTAAAATTATTATTCGTATAGCAAAATTTCCAACGATGACTTGATCTTGGTATGTTTAAATTGTGGATTATTAGAAACTTCTAATCGAGTGATAATTTATTGTTATTTTTCTTTTTTGTTTTTTTTTTTGTTTTTCAATTCCAATAGCCTCATTTTAATGCTCGTATAATTGTTAATATTGTTTTTGTGCTTTAAACGCACAATAGCTCGATTATAGATATAAATATTAAATACTTGGAACGCTTACTCGATTCGCTGGAATGAAAATATCTATTTTCCATATGAGTGTATTGTACTTATTGCATGTTATTCTTACTTATGTCACATTAAATTATTAATAATGATAATATGCTAACAGATTTCTTAAATCCGATTGTAAATATTAATGCTAATATAAATGCTATTATGCTAATTATGGACCATTTGAAGAATTACTGGATGAGAAAAATTGCAAATATCCGAAGTATTTTTATTGAAAAAGATTAACTATCTCTAGTTACAAGATAATTTTTATTGTAAGCTTTTAAATATATATATTTTTTTTTATAATAATGATCATTACTTTGTAACTCGAAACAGATTTTCATTGCAAAATGAAAATTTGGTCCTCCTCCTGTATATTTATGCATCGAGCCTTTGCACTAATATTAGTCTTTTTGTTCTTACTTTCCTTTTTTTTTTTTTTTTTTTTTTTTTTTTTTTTTTTTTTTTACAACAATTTCTCCATGATCCTTAAAAGTTCATTAATTTAAAATACGCACACCAGTAAATAATATGATCGGTTATTTCATATCGATAATAAGAATTGTGCGTTAATAGAGCTCCTACTATAACGCCGCTCGTGTTGCAAAAATTAATTGGACTAAATTACTTGTGCGCTTGTAAATTCGTCGAGCGATTCGAATTTCATTAAACAAACAAACAAAACAAAAAAAAAAAACAAAAAAATAATAATAATAATAATAAAAATAAATAAATAAAGAACAAAAAAAAAAAACCGATAATTTACAGGTTACATAATTTCTTGCAAAATAATCGCCAAGGAACGTACTTTACATATTGGCGAAATGTTGATATCCCTAAGTCTTGTACTGATTAAATTCACGCTCACGCAATTCTTCATTGCGATTCTACAATAATATGACATTTATTACTCAGGACTGACATTACGTAAAAACTTGCTTTCTTTTATCCAACGACGTTGCATTATGATATATATTAAAATAAAATCATCCTATCCTATTAATATTGGTGCTGTGAAATTTTCTATAAACACGTATGGTTTCGTTAAAGAAGTAAATACCAAGGGATTTTAAAAGTAGTACAAGATAAAATTATAATTAACAGTGAGCAAGGCACAGCTATTCCCACGACAATCCAAAGCAAGTTATCGTCATATTTTGTTTAAAGAAGAAAGTTTTTTAAATTTTTTTATTTTGTCGTCGTCGTCGTCGTCGTTGTTGTTGTTGTTTTTCTTTTTTTTCTACTCTTTCTCCTTGTTGCTGTTTATTATTATTATTATTATTATTATTATTATTATTATTATGATTATTATTTATTTTTTTTGTTTTTTGTTTTTTTGGTCGTTTCCTTTTCTTTTCGTCTATATTTTGGTTTCTGTTTTTGTTGCGTTATTGCATAATGATTTCACGAGAAAATGTGTTGGTGCGTAAGTTTTGCGTACATTGCTCGATGCATTTACGTAGCCGTGAACTGGCTTGGGCTATTATTATAACTTTTCTTACTACTACTTTTCAACTGTGTACAATCGGAATGCGATCGGAATCGCACATTTATCCCCTATATGTTTGAGCATAATACGTGAACATAATAATCTTGGCCTATTATATAATAAGAAAATTTTTGCGTCGTTCCGTGAAAGCACGTCCATACATTCGAGTCGCCTATATTTCGTCGGTCGACGTTCCTTCTCCATTCACGGACCCAGTTTCATTAAATCGGTTAAGCCGCCCTTTGAGATAATTTTCCATCCTCCACGAAAGGCCGAGGTACTTCGAAAGCAACAAATCAGAAACAAAAACAGAAACAAAATTGTCAGCCAAATCACGTTCATTTGGCATATGGGTTAGATTGTCGAAGGACGCGTCGTCCGCTTTATGATCGCCTCTCACATGTGGGCGTTTAAGCTTATGGGAGAGCCGCCCTGGATAATACTCGCGAAAATGGCTCTGGCCCTTTCGCCCGACAGCTCTTTGCTATTTCCCGCGATTCGCGCGTGACTCAATTGCTGTCCTTGATAATTTGCCATCAGCTCGGGTAGCCTGATCGTCTCGGTCGTGTCCCCGATGTGCCGCTCCATCCGCATCATCGGCCCCAAAGGCTCGATCGTCGTGCAAATGTTGCTCTCCGATCTCCCGTATCTCGCCGTCATCTGCAGCCTCGACAGCACCGCGTGTTCGTCAACAAAGTATCCTTTCTTCAGATTCTCCGACTTGGTCTTGCGAATTATGAGGGCGAACCTGCGCCTGATGTCGTCCCTCGCGACGTTGTCCTCCTCCTGGTCGAGGGCCTCGAGACTGTCCTCGGCCCTCCTAGACGTCGCCTCGAGCATGCGCATTAGCCTACCGAACGTGTAGCTTATCTCGTCCATGGACTTCTGGCTCATAAGGAAATAGCCCCGAGTGTCTCGGTCGCGCTGCTGAAGTGTCTCCTTAAGCTCCGTCAGATCGCACATTACCGACTCGAGCTTCTGTTCGGCGAACTCCCGACTCGCCCGCTCCTCCGCGAGCAGCAAATTATTACGTCGGATCTCCTCCTCCAGCTCGTCTCGCTCCTTTCTAATCCCGATCAATTCGGCCAGTATCTCCTGGAGCTGCCGGTCCCGTTGCTCACTGTGGGCCGCGTCCTCCACACTCGGCTCGCTCTTCATCACGACTTCTTTAATCGGTGGCTCTTTCATCTGGGCCGGCTCGTCCAACGATCGGATCTGCGCCAGAAGATCCAAGTGGAGGGACACCTTAGGCACCGCTTCGACCTGCTCGCACAACAAACGTATAATCCCAACGATGCGCTCGATGTTGCTAACGAGATAGAGATAGAGAGAGAGAGAGAGAGAGAGAGAGAGAGTAAGAGAGAGAGAGAGAGAGAGTAAGAGAGAGAGAGAGAGAGTAAGAGAGAGAGAGAGAGTAAGAGATAGAGATAGAGAGAGAGAGAGAGTGAGAGAGTGAGACGGGGGGAGGGGAGGATCGGTCGGTCGGTCGGTCGGTCGGTCGGTCGGTCGTCATCGATCCTAACAACCGGGCATCCGCGTTACCTGACGTGGCTGCGTGCGCTCTAGCGGCTTCATCGGCTGCCTACAAACGCGCTGCTTCTCGAACATCGGCAACGACTTCGACTTCATTCCCTTAAGTATCTGGGGCACAGGCGTGAGCGCCTTCCTGAATATGATGGGTGCGATCGGCCTCTTCACCTGCCTAATCATCGCGCTCTTCGACCTCATTGGCCCCGGTCTGCTATCCTGCTCCAGCTGCTTCTGCTTGTGAAAACTCGTGGCCGAGGAGACGCGCTTTACGCCGCCTCTCTCCTTCTGTGGGATACTCAGCCATCTGTACTCGTTCTCGCTGCGCAGATTATTCCGGTCCAGGAGCTTCATTATCTCGCCGAGCGACTCATCGCGCAGGCCCGAGTTCAGTCGCACGTCCACGATAACAATGGTCTTGTTGTGCTCGAGGAGATCGATCACGACCTTGGCTATCTCGTGATTGAGGCCGCACTGCTGGAGATCCAACGCCTTGAACCAGAGGCTGTCCCCGATCGCCTCAATGATACCTGGAACAGGGGACGCGAGATCGGTTAACGTCTATTAAGGATTAGTGGAGGCTATTAATGCGATAGATAGGCTGTTAATGATGGGAGTGGGAGCTTTACCGATGGCGGCCTCATTGCCGAGCTTGTAGTTGCCGTTGAGCGTGAGCCTGCGCAGTCCCGGCATGCTCTCGAGCTTGGGCTCGCGGTATCTCAGCGACTCCTTCCACGCGTCGTGATAGAGGTTGAGCTTTTGGCGGGAGAGGGCCGAGGCGAGCACGGGCCCGGCCCCAGGACCGAGATCGCACTGCGAGAGATTGAGGCACTTGACGCTCGGGATGTCGGCGATCGCCCTGCAGATCACCTCGCAGCCGGCGTCGCCGATGTAGCATCGTTGAAGCGAAAGATGCTGGAGGGACTTGGTGTTGCTGAGGCCGACGCAGAGGGCGACGAGGCAGTCCTCGGGCATGGGCACGCCTTCGAGCTCGAGGGTCGTAAGGGCCGAGGAGTATCGGAGACACTGGCCGAGGCTATGGGACAGCCACTCGAGGAGATAACGCGTCAAGACGACCGGGGCCTTGCCGACCGTGCGCGCCTTCGGCTCCGAGTTGGCCTGGTCCAGCCATTTGCGGCACTGGAACTTGCTGCGCACGCTTATTGATCTACGGTGGGAATAAGTAGAGGGTGGTCGATGATGTTTGACGTCACTTTGCTTAGGCTCACGCCGACGTAACGAGTATTATGGAAGTAGGAGGCCAGTTCGTTTGGGGCCCAAGCCGTAATTAAGAGAGATACGAGAGTCTCAGGGCCGTGCTTATCGATTATCATTAATTAATTAGATGCGCGAGCGACGTGTGCGCGGCTTGCTTCTAGCGGCCCTCTACGCAAGACCTTCGTCAACGACAAAATCAGGGTAATTGCAGGATACGTGATTATTGGTGATGATGGAACGGATCAGAGTTGGGGCGTTTGGTGCGGCATTAGTCGAAATCGAGGCGAGACGATGCTCGTGCGAACGAGTGTCGGGGAGTCGCGACGTCGCGACGTCGCGGTTTAACGAATGAACGGTGGGCGAGTGAGTCAGTCGATACGAACCTGAGCGTACGATCGAATGACAGGGAATTTAGGATGGGCTTCCAGTCGTCCATTTTAACGCGGTCGGTCGTAAAGTCGAGCGAGTAGGGCAAAGTGACGCAGATCATCGGCAGTGGCCTGAGCCGCTGCTTCTTGCAAAGCTCCATGTAGCTGCTGGCGAAGCTGTGATCTTCCGCAGTCGCCTGCATGTTTGTGCGCATAACCGTTCCTGGGCCGCCGAGACTTTGCGTTCGACGTCGTTGATGAGCCAGAGAGATCAGACCGGCCAGTCGGGAAATGAGTTTCATTGATCAAGGACATTCGAATTATTCAACCTAACGCTGACAAGCCCTGAGCTTAGCCCCTTACGTAGGACGAACCCTATTTATTAGCGAGCTGCTTATTATCCCTCCGTAAACGAATTGTCGCAATTGCCGATGGACTGTTGGCTTTTGACTTTGCGCTCAAGATGAGCGTCAACCGACGTAAATTTGATTAATGCTGTTATTTTTCACTTTCACGTTGATAAAGCATACGCTCGTATAAGATATTTAACGAAATCATTGAAGGCATTAAGACTGATAAGTAAGCGATGGCACTTTCCGTCTCGTTTATGCATTAGGCGGTGATGCTCGAACGGCGCGCGATAAATTTTGTCAGATTTAAGAATTTTTACGCTCTCTTACGTTTTCTCGTTTTTTTTCTCGTTTTTTTTTCTCGTTTTTTTTTATTTTTTTTTTTATTATATCTTTTCTTTTCGTTGTTCCCGAGCACGTTTGTGTACAAAGTAAACAATAACGTGGTAATGGTCGAATTTCATGTAATTTCATGCTGAAAGCGTTTATTGTTTCTAAGCAGGTTGAATGGTTAGTTTGAAAATTAATTTAGACACTCGACGATAGGTTGGAAATGCTCATGATCTTACTCTGTGTACTGGAATTTCCTAATATAAATATATAATGAAAGGTGATGCACTAATGATCAAGTAATATGTCACAATTTGTTAGCTTACGAAGGTGCCATTATCAAATAGATGAATTCTTACTCGTGAAATCAGTGCACCGAATAAGCAATCTAATAATAAGCGCGATGATAAGCCATGCTTTGATAGTTTTTTTTTTTTTTTTTTTTTCTATTTTACTTAAAAGTTAATGTGAGCGTCAAATAGAGATAGTTACCTGATTATTTCTAAAAAATTTTAAGCTTGTGAAATGCGTGAGACGTGTGACAAGTTAAACCTGGATTTTGTATATCGAGGAACTTCCCGACCAAAAGAAATCTCGTTGCCGAACTTCATCTGCGCGACTTACGGGCTTCGGTTTTACTGACACCTGAAACACCGACATATTAACGTAAATATATTTATTTAGTTTCGGCGCTCGGCGGCCACTTTTTACCAAATTACCCGAAAGCTCTGAAAGCGGCGACGAGCGAAAGTTTAAAGTACAAATTAGGTTGCGACATCGGATATTTGTGTGGTAATTAAATCACTAAAAAAAAAAAAAATCTTAAATACAGCTGGTGAGACAAACGAAAAAATGGGAAAACGAAACGGAGAAGTGTACAGCCTGAAGTTCGCCCCATAAAGCGAATGCGATTTATTTTGCGCATACGCAGACGATAGCGTGGCATTCGAAACGACTTTATATTCAAAAAGCTGTTAATTGTCAAAACTATGGTAAATCAATGTGAGAGAGCGAGAGAAAGAGAGAGTGTGAGAGAGAGAGACAGACAGAGAGAGAGAGAGAGAGAGACAGAGAAAGAGAGAGAGAGAGATGGAGGTAGATAGAAATGTAGATATATAAATATATATATATATATATATATATATATATATCTACATTTCTATCTACCTCCATCTCTCTCTCTCTCTCTCTCTCTCTCTCTCTCTCTCTCTCTCTCTCTCTCTCTCTCTCTCTCTCTCTCTCTCTCTCTCTCTCTCTCTCTCTCTCTCTCTCTCTCTCTCTCTCTCTCTCTCTCTCTCTCTCTCTCTCTCTCTCTCTCTCTCTCTCTCTCTCTCTCTCTCTCTCTCTCTCTCTCTCTCTCTCTCTCTCTCTCTCTCTCTCTCTCTCTCTCTCTCTCTCTCTCTCTCTCTCTCTCTCTCTCTCTCTCTCTCTCTCTCTCTCTCTCTCTCTCTCTCTCTCTCTCTCTCTCTCTCTCTCTCTCTCTCTCTCTCTCTCTCTCTCTCTCTCTCTCTCTCTCTCTCTCTCTCTCTCTCTCTCTCTCTCTCTCTCTCTCTCTCTCTCTCTCTCTCTCTCTCTCTCTCTCTCTCTCTCTCTCTCTCTCTCTCTCTCTCTCTCTCTCTCTCTCTCTCTCTCTCTCTCTCTCTCTCTCTCTCTCTCTCTCTCTCTCTCTCTCTCTCTCTCTCTCTCTCTCTCTCTCTCTCTCTCTCTCTCTCTCTCTCTCTCTCTCTCTCTCTCTCTCTCTCTCTCTCTCTCTCTCTCTCTCTCTCTCTCTCTCTCTCTCTCTCTCTCTCTCTCTCTCTCTCTCTCTCTCTCTCTCTCTCTCTCTCTCTCTCTCTCTCTCTCTCTCTCTCTCTCTCTCTCTCTCTCTCTCTCTCTCTTTCTCTGTATATATCTATATATCGATCGATCTATCTATCTATCTATATATATATATATATATATATACATAGATAGATAGATAGATCGATCGATATATAGATATATACAGAGAAAGAGAGAGAGATAATGTTTTTAATTAAAATAAAGTTTTCTCTTTATGCTATATTAACGCGTGGGAATAGCTTCTTAATTATATACGTAATACAATTTTTAAATTGCCGCTACTCGTGCATGAAAAATTTACTTTCTCACCTGACGATATTCCAATAATAATGTCGCCTTCGAATTGCAATTAGAATAATCTCTTAGACTCCAATCAACATAGCCTATTTCGAAAATCAAACACAAAATACTTTGTAAAACTACGTCCTATTTTCTAAACTCCAACTGCTCTCTCCCTCCCTTTCGCTCATCCTCCTCCCATCACCGTCCCTCATCATCACAATCACTCCACCCGCCTCCTTTCCCATTCCCGCTCCCTGCCCCCTTCCTTCCACATCCATTTTCCAACGCATATTTCCTACTCGACGAGAATACGACGAGCGGATAGCGAAGTTAAAAAATTGAATAACCTACAAAGTGAAATGCATCATGCGTATCGGCATAATTTAAATAATCCCATTTCCATCGAATCCCTCCTATTGCCATTACAACAAACAATTAGTGTGCGACGAATTATGCTGCCGGACACGCGCTTACATTATCATGAATAAAAATTAAGGCCTCATTAACAATCAGTGAGAACAATGACATCTGAGCGAATAAGGACGTGATTAAAATTTCAATCCTAATACGGACGCGGCGCAGCGCGCCAATATAATTGGGAAATTATGGTGATTTACTTGAGCGGCCCCAACTCTTTGTCCACAGGCCCCCGGTTTCTTTGGCGATGGCGCGATACGCCGCACCGCTGCCTCTACCCACAACTGTCGCTCCGACCTCGAATTCCACCAGTGCGCCGACGCCACCTCGACAAGATAACGACGATGGTAAATGCCGTTACACTTAGCATGCTTATGCCAACGATTAAGAGTATGGAAAAAGCATTTTTTTGTACTCGAGTACTTTGCATTCGAATACTTTGCTAGCGTATCGTATCGGCAAATAACGCGGATTAATAAGATTTGAGGAGCCGCGCGCGTGTCCTTTATCCCTCACCTCTAAGCTCCATGACAATACTACGATTTAACGGGAGGATCGACGTGGTGGAAGATGAAATATCTAAAGCTCTTTAAGCGATTGATCGATGCTACTCTCGCGACCTTTTGCTTTTATTCCTTCATTCTCGTACAATGTAAGGAAGGTTTGCATGTTGCTGGCGCCGAGTACTGGCCAAACGGGTAAACGTTCTATTGACGAAGCCCAACGAGAGTCTCGATGTGCAATGAGTAATTGACGGGGCGATTAATCGACACAGGAAACGCCTCGGAAGACAGCATTGACGTAACGAACGAGGAGCCCCTGACTCCCCAGCCTCAGCCACGCACCAATTGCAATCAACTGCCTCCAGTTATGCCGTCGATCTACTCGCCGGCGAGCGTCGAGACTGTCTACGAGACCTCGGCGAGGCTGCTCTTCATGGCCGTCAAGTGGGCCAAGAACCTGCCGTCCTTCGGCAGTCTGCCGTTTCGCGATCAGGTGACTTGATTATCGACACGGAGCTTCGGATTTTCCTAGCGGGGCACGGGGGCTTTGCATCCCCGTTCATTGACTTGGGGATTCTATGCTATTGGATTCGGTATGAAATCGCAGTGGTGGCACGTTCGGACTCTCTCGCCCGCCAACGTCCAAATAAAATTGAAAAACATGGCGCTGTGAGCGTGGACTTTCTTTCATTGTTTCTTTCTGCCTTTATGTGTATTTCTTCGTGTTTTGTTTTTGTTTAGTTTGTTTAATGCAAAAACAGATGGAATTTGATCGATGATAGAATCGGCGGTGCCAAGTTAGTTTAGCAAAAAAGGATTGCTATTGCGATTCGCGAGATATAAGTTTTATTATTGGAAATAACTTTGCTTTATTCGGTACTGTGGGAGCGCCTGATAAGTAAGACAAATCTGAAAATTTCATCGAGTTCGGGAGGGATTTTTTGTTGGCGGCCGGTCGGTAGAAATACGATTTACTTCTTTTCCTCTTTCTTTTTTTATCAACAAACTGTTCTTACATCGCCATGTAGCAATAATATTTGTTTTATTGGCTCTTTATACCCTCTTAAAACAAATGCTTTAACGAGAAAGCTCATTGTGCGCTATTCTATCCGATTTAAATTGCAACTGCGAATGACAATGAGATTTCAATAGATTAATCGGATAAACGAGAGAAACCTTTACTGTAAACATAATATACACTGATTACAGCCATGCCTCCCGTCAAATTCTTAAATTTCCCATTTTCTTCTCTCGATTTTTATAAATAATATTTTCTTATTTATTTATTTATTTATTTTATTTTGTTCTTCTTAAACAAAGACGAAAAAAAAGTCCCCGTAAAAATTGAATGTCTAATTATGTAAATTTTGTGCACCCGATTTGATCCCATGAACCCCATAATCGTTTGCAAAGACTTACGCACATCGCCCGGTACATCCAATCTTCAGTCTTCAATGCCTTGGACCTAAATGTAATAAGACAATCCATAGAATGGCCAACTTCCGCAACTCCCTTTGAAGCAGCCAAATCAAGCAGCATAATTATAAATTGCCTTATATATTTCATCCTATGCAGGTAATACTCCTCGAGGAATCCTGGTCGGAGCTATTTTTATTGAACGCCGTTCAGTGGTGCCTGCCCTTGGAATCCTCGCCGCTGTTCAGTGCGGCTGAACTGTCAGCTCTGACGATGTCGCCCCACCCGGTGCACTCGCACTCGGGCCTCCACCTCTCCTCGCCAAGCAAATCCAATCAGGTCGCAGTGGACGTGAGATACCTGCACGACATGCTGCATCGGTACAAATCCGTCATGATCGATCCCGCGGAATTCGCCTGCATGAAGGCCATCGTTCTTTTTCGTCCAGGTATGATGAAAATCTCACTTATTGGTCGATTGGTCGATTGCGTGCTCTCTCGAGACGTTCCGAGCGCCATCCCAGGGGACTTCGTAAATATCTCGGTAAAGATTCTGCCTGCGAGCGTCAAGGGCATCCTTCGCGCGGCGATTTATTAGCGAACGCGTCACTTTAAAAACGAAAAGTCTTTCACCGTGAGGGATAACGTCGATCTTTTCCATATCATCAATTATATAGCATATTTTTGAAAATCGTTTAATAATGCTCGACCGTCGTACAGTACATCGATATCAATTACCAATATTGCGATAAGTTGGTGGACATGTAATGTATGACGCGCCTTGTATTTCGCCAACTCATAGCTTACGCGAACAACCCATTCGCGTAAAATTCCCAATGCTCCCCTTACATAAACCGCCAAACAATATAATATGATAACGCCGTAAGCACTAGACCTCGTGCACCCCACCGCTCAATCTCATTCGAAAGGACAGAACCAAAGGGCCGAAACTTTATAGAGACTCGAGGTCTGAAAGACTCGAGCCAGATCGAAAACCTGCAGGACCAGGCGCAGGTGATGCTGGGACAGCACACGAGGAGTCAACAGCCTAGCAATCCGGCGCGCTTCGGCCGTCTGTTGCTCCTCTTGCCCCTGCTGAGGAACGTGTCCGCTGCCCGGGTCGAGCTCATCTACTTCCACAGGACGATCGGCAATACGCCGATGGAGAAAGTACTCTGCGACATGTACAAGAACTAGAGGGGACAGCGACACTGTACCGACTGCCACCGTCGTTCGCTTTCTCTATGTGGACTTATTTGCAAGAAGGAAGCTGACGCGGTACAGGCCGACGAGAGTCCTTTTCAGCGCCTAAAGGCACACGATGATCGACAGGAGCGTTGGTTTCCCCTAGTTGCCTAAATAAGAGTACGTCGGTGGGTCTCGATGGACATATAAGCTCATTTTAAATCAGTGTTAACGGAGTATCGAGTTCATATAATAGTCATTGGTCACGTAACTCGTGTTATGTGATATATATATATATATATATATATATATATACATATATATATTAATAACAATAACAATAGGAATAATAATAACAATAACAATAATAATATAAACGATGGTCGATAGGGGAGGGAAGGTCGGTAGCTCGTGGTGCAAGTGAGCCAAGTTCATTGATTGCCTACCCCATGCTACGCCTTTAATAAGAAAGGGCTTCTTTTTTTTCGAGCCCTAAACAAATTGTTTCGAATTTACAATCTGTTTTATTCTTGGATTATACTTCCGGTAAAAATGACGCATAATTGTGCTATATTTATAGAGATTGTGAATCTACTTCAAGTAGAACAGATGCTCGTTCTACGCGTAGCGAGAACATTGGCATTAGGTGGCGTGTAAATTGATTTGCAGAGTTCCTGGGGTGCCATCTTATATTCCAATTCAATTGAATCGTATTACATCTTACTTAATATAAATTTCAAATAGTAGACCGCAATAACCATCACTGATTTAAATAAACAGTTTACAGTTTATGATTTTCACTTGTTATCGCTTGATATTATTGCATCGTAAAACATTCTGGCTGTTCTTCGACTTTAATGTATATCTGTATGTACATACATACGCCAACACGCACGCACGCGCGCGCGCGCGCGCGCGCACACACACACACACACACACTCATCGAACGATAAATATTTCAATTCAGACATTCACAAACATTGATTGCTTTCATTTATTTTATAATTTAAAGAACGTTGGACAAGGCATTTACATTTACTTACAGAATAACTATCATCGATGTATTGAAATTATTTAATCGTTCACCCGTACTATGTATGATTATATTTATATGTGTAGTTGTGCAACATAATCCCTCGGATATCGGAATCAGTTGTGTGATTTTATTCTATCCGAAATAATAGAATTATATCTAGGGATTGATCTTAATTATTACGTAAATTTATCTTTATAAGAATTAGTTATGCCTAACTTGATTGATACAGTGCAGTGAAATATATTTGATATTAAAGCTGAATTTGCATATGTAAAGAGATGAAGAGTTGTTATCGTTAGGAGAGGGGAAAAAGCTTTCTTTATTACGACCAAAATTTGCTAATCATGTAAAAAGATAAGGTAATATGGCGAAAATAACAACATTTGATTAGAATGAAATCACGAGGCAACGAAATTAATATGCCATTGTGAAGGCCTAAAGTTAACCAAAATAATAAATCGAACGTTTTAATTAACCCGGAAAAGAGTGATTATTAAGCATTATATTTCACTTGGAAACCAGTCTACATTGATATTTCCATTCGTTGATTTAAAATCCTTATATTATTATTCATTGATGTTATGAATAAATTGTAAACCCTATAATTTTACTATTATTGTAAAATTCACTTTGACAAAACTTGAGGAACAATATTTTTACACTTCGTATTAAGAATTGCATACTAATGCTAATGTGCATAATAGTACAGAAAATTATTTTACTTTAATCTAAGTTAATATTTCAAATATTCGTTACATTCTTAATGTATAGTTTTACAAATTTAAAATTAAATATCTATGGGAGTAAACGTACTCTGACAATTATTGCGAAGCATTTGCATTAGATATTTTTTTAAATCAAACACTATATAATCATATGTATATTTCAATTGCTAAACATCCTTTGTTGTCCTCGCAAATGTCAATGGACCAAATATACAATTCCATATTAATTGTCCAAATCTTAATATCAGTGCTTGTTAATTTTTAATGAATTAATTGACCTAAAACGTAAGGAATAATTTTAATAGAAAATCTCAGCTCAAATATATACAGACATATGTTTAATTTATATAATTTATTAAGAATGCAGGAATTATATTAAATTAAATTGAAATTACATAATAAACAATTATTTCGTTAATCAATAAATATAGCACAATCGATATAGATATCGATTAATGCAGCGTTTGCATATTTTTCTTTAGAAAATGATTTTCTTCTTTCTTATTTATTTATTTATTTATTATTTTTTGTTTTAACATGTATAACTATTTTTAGCGTAAGAACACAATCAAAGCGCAACCAGAATTAAATTATTTCATTCGAAATTGGCATAAGTGTAACGATGCTGAAATAGTAACTGAAAATCGTGATTGCTCGTATTAAGTTATTACTTTTGTTAATATAAAAACATTTATAAATGCATAATGATACGTGATCATGAAGCATTTGTTTAATATGAAAATTATATATACGCATAAATTGTATATTAATAACAAAGAGAACGTGATTAATTAATTATTATTAATGCACAATGTCTTGTTAAAGTCTAATGTTATAAAATAAAAAATTTACAACTCTGTATTAATTAATGGTATATACAATAAAATTTTATATATAAAATGCAAAAACAAAAAACAAGAGAAGCATCGTTTTTCGAAAGATAGGAGAGTCACGTGATTTGAATTATTGGCCAGGCAAGATGCAGGATGTAATAGTCCAGTGGAAAGAATGAAGAGTTTATGAAAGATTATTTCATAAAATCGTATAGTAAAATAATTATTCTAGTCATAAAATTAGTCATAAAATGCGCTGTAAAAAAAAAAAAAAAAAAAAAAAAAAAAAAAAAAAAAAAAAAAAGGCTAAATCGTGCGCATCTACTGTATATTCCATGTTGTGATAAATGATTGTCGTAAAAATGCTGTATGTGGATGATCACATTCGGCAGAATATAATATAACGATTACGCAACATTCATTGTAATAAAATTAAGTACGCAACCATATTCAATTACATGTGATTATTTATCTACCTAATGATCCAAATTTCCTTCTCGATTCTTTCCAACGTGATATTTACGTCAAAGCAAATGGTCCTACAACTGTCCTTCCATAAAAATATTTAAGACTCTCATTTACGATGACAATTGCATGACTGTCGTAAGATCCCATTTCCGCTTAATCACCTAATAAATGAATAACCGAGCATTGACATTTTCAATTGAAATTTGTAATTGAAATTTCGAACAGCGCATTAACGAAGCAGCGCCATTGACGAAACACAGCTAATTCTTTCGGCATTTTAAGAAATCGAAGAATGCTAAACTTCCAAAGAACTCATTGACCAGCTAACTGTACACTAACACCGAGAACATGGGACAAACGAGGCCAGTGAAAATCATTGCGTAAGGTGAGTCCAAAGTCCAAAATTGCTTTAATGATGTTCGCGCGACCCAACGCTTAAATTGTTAAAAGTACAGGAGGCGTGAGAGGGAGGAACCGATAGCCCTCGACTAAGTAAAATAACTCGGCGATATTAAAAGAGCGAGTCGTAAAAATAAAATCCATTAACGTAGGATGGCCTAAGGGAAAGAAGGCGGGTATCGTATATTTATTTATCGCCGGCTTAATCCCTGACTTTGTGCGCGCCACATGGCGGCTCGATGCTGCTACCGGGACGCGATAAATTACGCCGGGGCTACTTAAAGTTGTCAAAGCCAGGATGTCAAACAGGAGTTGGGTTTGGTTGACTGAGGGCGAAGCTCGGGAGATGCCGGCTAATCGTTCCATTCTCGTAAACTCGTGTCTTTTTTTTCTTTTATTTATTTTTTTTATTTATTTATTTATTTATTTTTTTTCCAAGGAGAAGAGCTGAACGAAAGTTCGTGCAAAAAAAAAAAAAAAAAAAAAAAACAAGTGATATTCGCAATATAAATGGGTTGTATTTGAAAATATATGTATTAAATGTACAAGGGGACAAACGATCGTGTATATATTATGAAGGGTGGTGTATAATTTTCGGAAAAATGACATTACGATTCGGTGATTTTTAACGAGCGATTTCGAAGCGATAAAATAAACTGTGCTAACGTAGTTTATCAATCATGACCTCGGAAAGGTTTTGATCAATGTCCATGAGCCTAGCAATAGAGTTCCACGGGCGAATCTGTCATGTTAACTTATTTGATAAAGAGACTTGTGAGAGGTGAAATGATATTTCTTATGAATTATCGTGTGCAATCTATTTCGGTAAGATTAGGTAGCTTTCAAGAGTTTTAAGAAGCACGTTTAGAGAGGCGAGTAATTCTTGAAAAGAAATTTTTCTCTTCATTCTCGACCAAAGCCTATCATCGTTAATGTAAATGATTCCCATAGACTAATTAATAAATAATAACGGAGCGCCCGACATCTAGTGTCATTTCAATTAAATAAATTTTCAACCACGGAAATAGCAGTTGCGTACGCGCGATCGACGCATCAACGCAACCTGATTTATGAGGCGGCTGTAAATCGGCGACAAATGTCTCTCTGGCCGTGGCAAATCGCTAGACAATTGCCGGAAAAGAGCTTCGCCGAGTGGACGAGGATCGTTTTCGTAAATGACGATCGAAAAGCAAGCGCCAATGGAGCAAAAGAGCGCAATGCGGCATCTGCCGATATTGGCTTTATCCTCACTGTATTAAGGACAAAATGAGAAAGAGAGAGAGAGAGAGAGAGAGAGAGAGAGAGAGAGAGAGAGAGAGCTAATGCCATTTGAAATTACGATCCCCGGTGACGCTGGCGACCGTTTGTCGAGGATTTGCGAGCGGGCCTCGCCCCCTTTAGCCCCGCGCACTTGCCGCTTGACGTGCATGGAACGCGGGAGTCATCGAGTGACTTGATATGCGCATATTTAACCAAACTGCCCTTTTGTTCGCCGACTTTCTATTTTCCTAAGGCTGATCCAGGGGCTTTGCTGCGTAAGCCTGGATATGC